TATATATATATATATATATATATATATATTAATCAAATCACTACTACTATTATTCTTACAAAATTTACCATGTACTAAGCTAACTCGGCTCATCTAATAGACGTCTTAAAGTCGCTGGTATATACCAAGTTTTCTTAAAGCAGCTGATGTTAACAACATCCTTAGCATTTTGGTTTGTTAAACTTAGTCTGACAACAGAGGAACGTCTTAAAGTCGCTGGTATATACCAAGTTTTCTTAAAGCAGCTTATGTTAACTACATCCTTAGCATTTTGGTTTGTTAAACTTAGTCTGACAACAGAGGAACTATTGGTCATATAACTTCATGATATTTATTACATGTCTACATATTATATATGATTAAACCCTCAAATTATTTAAATATGATGCTGACTTCAGTTTATGTACTATGATAAAAGGGACGGTAATACTAATGCATTGGTTGAAGTAAAAACTTATTATGGCTTCTTTTATTAAAATACAAAAGGAGGAGGGAATTGGGGAAGACTTGTATGATGATGGGAGTGGTTGTATTGGTACTTATCTAGTTTAACGTATGAAGCACCAATCACATTTCATGTATGAATAAAAAGGAGTTTAAAACAACATTATTCTTATTTTTTAAAACTATAATATTTCATTACAATGGTGAAAATACTTTAAAGAAAAAAGTGAGATGATAAATAAGATTTGACTAATACAAAAGGCAAATAGAAGGACATAATAATAGAGCTTAAGAAGATGCTTGTTTCAATAAGAGTCTGAATGAGAAACTAAAACGTTTAATTCGTTTTCTTTTGTTTAATAAGACCTATTTTATATTTTTTATATAAATATTGACTAAAAGTTGTCTCTCTCTCTTTTTATTTAAAAACATCATATTAGCTAAAACTTAAATAAAAATATACTAAAATAAAACAATTAAAGTCTTAAAGTACAAAAATATTTTTTCATAAATTTTTTAATGGTTTAATTATTATATGTTAAAAATATCAAAAAGTTATATTGGGGCGGGTTTATACACTGTCTTGTAAAAGAAATGTATAAGTTATATTTAAGAAAACATTATTTCAATATAAAAGTAAATGTGTAGTCATAAAATGTTTGATTAAATCTACTAATAGAATTTGTAGTTACTTTTCATGGGTTCTTTTCATGGGTTGTTTTATGACACATCTTTTTTCTAGTTAAAAAATAGACGTGTTTTTCTTATATTTCTAATACCAAGACATTTACTTTTTTCTATAATTGTAAAATAGACTTTCAACTCTATTGTGATTTTAATCAAACGATCTCACAAATTATAACTGTAAGGGAAACGGTGGACCTGTTGTTTGCTTTGGTGAAATGTTAATAGATTTTGTGCTAACAGTGGGTGGAGTGTCACTAGCTTAAGCACCTGCTTTCCAGAAAGCTACTGGTTGTGCTCTTGTCAATGTGGTTGTTGGCATCGCTAGGCTTGGAGGTTCATCTGCTTTTGTAGGCAAGGTGTATTTCTCTATCCATGTCATGTGTTATATTGTTTGAAGTTAATTACATTTATTTGAATATGACTGTTCCAGGACATCTCCTCGAACCCTCACCCTTGAAAAGAAAGTATCAGAGAGATAGATAGCATGTTGCATGCTGAATTCTGGATAATAATATCTTAAGAGTTGTGCAAGTGCTGAACATAAAATTATGAAGAGAGACTCTCCCCGAAGTGGTGGATCTCGACCACGTGGCGGAGGAGGATGACAAGTTCATCAAGCACCCCTTCTTCCGAAAAATGGCCCACGTGTAAGACCGCAGCTACTCCGACCATCACCACATCGCTAACCCCGTTAGTAAAGATGTCTATGCCCACACACCCCGTCTTGAAACAAAAGCGTTTTCACTCCTTTCATTTTGAGTTGAGGAAGAGAATAGGGATGATGGGTGGGGAGGTTGGGTTGAGAGAGGCAGAGATGATGATTGCGGTGGTGATGATGGATTTCTTTGTTTGGAGGATTTGGAGAAGATGATGGAGGATTTGGTGAAGATGATGGAGGGAGTGGAAGATGGAAGGAAGGAGACGAGGGAGAGGGAGGGAGAAAAGCTGAGAAAGACTGACTCAATGTCAGAAAAGACAAATCGTGCAACTCCACCGTTAGCCACCTCGGCCTTTTTCTAACGTCGTTGGGTTTGGAGGACAAAAATTATGGTCTTTTTAAGGAGAATGATCAAAATGTAGCTTAGTTTGAAAGAGAGACTAAAAACAAATTCGCTTAATAGTTTAGGGACTAAAAACATATTTAACCCGAAATTAGTAATACAAATATCTAAGAGTCAATTTGTGTTTTAAAATTTTTGTAATTTTTTGGTTTATGTTTTTTCTTCTAATTCTTTAGTTACTTAAGCAGTTATAATATATAATATAAAAGTTTACTGGAAAGAAAAAATACTTAATATTTTTTATATTTGTTTATTTAATCACATATATTATTTTCACAATTAAGTTTTATTAAGAAAACTCATGTTGCAAAGTGTACAAAAATATTATTTTTTCAAGTTATTCTAAATTCAAATAAGTATTTTTTTTCTAATCAATTTTGACTAAACACGAATATTTTATTCTATTCTCAATCACTTTTATTTAATGATGTTCAAGTATTTTTTTTTTCTAAGTCATTTATGATTCAATTAAATATTCTTTTAACAAGTTATTCCTAACTTTTACAAACACACAATTTGAATAACCAACATATCATTATCTTAATTTTTGCTAAAGATTGTAAAAAATTTTTACATACAAGGATTTGATTCTTTGACTAATTTGCTTATATGAACACAAACAATATTTTTTTAAGGTTTTTAAGACATAAGAAAATTTTAGCAAAGTTTTGGAACTTGCAAATTATAGCTCTTCTCTCTCAATTTTTTTTTTCTAAAAAGAGTTTTTGCATAGGCTTCATAATAGATGATCACCTTAAACCTTTTGGTGTCTATTGAGTAACTTTTAACTCATTTGATTATTTTCTTCTCATTATAGTTGTTGAGCTTTAACATATAGAAGCATTAAATGCCTTTCATACAACATTCATTACATTTCACAAGTTTTCATGCTAATATAAAATTTTAAAATATATAATAATATTAATAGAAAATAATATCAATTTATATAATCGTTATAATGATACTAGTGCTTGGTAATTCATATTAACATCTAAACTTTTATTATTTTATTACTTATTATTTACAAAGTCCTTTTTTTCAATAAGGATTTACTAGTATCTTAAGGACTTTATCTCAACTAAAATGAATCAACCAAACATACGTAAAATTTAACTAGAAATTATTCCTTTCAACGATTGACCTTGAGTTTATTAATTTTTATTTATCATATAGAAAATTCTAATACATAAAACAGGGCATATACTCTGCCTAGTTTAGCAATTTCTTATGGCTACAACTTTGTTTTGACTTACTTCAAACAGGAACATGTAAATATTTTTAATATGGTATGGTCTTTTTACAAAGAAAAAGACATATTTAATAACTGAGTTCGACAGCCAAACATGACAGTTCTTTGTTGGATGAAAAAAATTCTTTTTCAAAGATGATCATATCATGTTTTACATGAAGAACTCGAATTCAAGAAAAAGGGATTGAAGAAACTCAGGTAGAATAATAAGAAACAAACTTGGTAATATTAGTGTGGAAGTGGTTGAGTGCTAGCTTTTAGTTTGGATTCTACATACTAAAGAATAGGCAAAAAGTAGCAGTTTTCATTCTACATGGGAGCAGTTAATAAGCACAAATTGCTCTTCCTACGTCAATGCAAGCAACACATGAATCGTGTGTAGATGTCCTTCTCAGAAAACCTTTTAGGAAGCTAAATATGTGTGAGCAACAAAAGGTTCCAACCATAGTTAAACTTACCCCATCTTACTGCATCATGACAGTTCCATGGAATGCTAGAACTCAACTTTTTCTTGCCAACATGTTCTTTGCACTTACTCTTCATATATATGAGGTCTCATCAAAGCTGTGTTCTAAAGAGGTTTGATCATGACAGACATATTTGAAAACCAACCATCACCTGATTCTTCAAATTATGCATCAAGCAGTGGCTTCTGTGTGGAAGACAAGGAGATTGGATATGGAGCTGCAACATCAAAACATATATATCTTTTGGCCAACAAATCTGTTCTCCACTTCTTTTCCATCAAAATTGACCTGAATTATGCTCGCATGGTAAGAGTATTAAGAACCCATATCATTAAATTCAAGCATTGTTTAAGTAAATTTCTTCCTTAATACTTACAAGTTTTGTAAAGAAAGTATGAAGTTTTGTAAAATGAGAAGTACAAGTTTTTGGTATGTAGGTAATGGCAGAGTTGGTGGGTACTTTTATTTTGATGTTCTGTGTATGTGGAATCAGTGGAAGCACAGAAATCCAAAAGGGTGCAGTGGGCCTTGCGGAGTATGCAGCTACAGCAGGGTTAACAGTGGTGGTGGTAATTTTCTCTATAGGGCCAATATCTTGTGCGCACGTTAACCCAGCTGTCACAATAGCCTTTGCTACAATGGGTCAATTTCCATGGTTGAAGGTGCTAATAATAATAGAACAAGAGCTAGCATAGCATGGCATAGACCTTGTTAAAAATTTTCTGGTGGTATAATTGATTAGTTTGTGACTACGTACCATTATTTTGCTGAACAGGTTCCAGTTTACATAATAGCACAGACAGTAGGTTCTATGTCGGCAACATACATAGGTAGCCTTGTATACGGCATAAAATCAGATGCTATCATGACCATGCCACTCCAAGGGTGCACCTCTGCCTTCTGGGTGGAGCTTATTGCAACTTTCATCATCATGTTCCTCGTTGCAGCTTTGACATCTGAATCTCAATCAGTAAGGTTACCTATTCACACCTAAGTTTCTTAAACATGCAACTACCTAATTAAAACTTTTAACACTCTGCAGGTGGGCCATTTATCTGGCTTTGTTGCTGGTGTAGGAATTGGCCTTGGTGTGCTAATCACAGGGTACCTACGGACCTACCTTTTCTTTTCTTTTAACTTATTTTTAGAAAAATTAAGATGGTAGTTACATCAGCACAGCAAGGACATCACATAAAATTAGGAAAATATTTTTTTGATAAGAGTTTCCCTGTAGTTTGTGATTGATAAGTTTCAAATATACAGAACAATAAAATAGTGAAACATAATTCATTATAAAATAAAAAAAGTTGTTAACTTATCATAGTGTATAAAATGATGTGATGCTTGTAGTTGATAAGGTTTTCGTTGTTGCTGGTTGTTAAACTTATTTTAGAGAGATAATTACCATTTTCTTTTCTGGTTTTTGGTTAGAAATGATAGAAAATTGTAACATAGTGTTATTTTGTAATGTGAAAGTGTTGGTGATTTGTTGCAGACCAGTCTCAGGTGGATCAATGAATCCTGCAAGATCGTTAGGTCCGGCAATTCTGTCATGGAAGTTTAAGAACATATGGATATACATGGTAGCCCCGAGTGGTGGAGCTGTGGCAGGAGCTGCAATGTTTCGCTTCCTACGCATTCGAGACCAACATTCTACTACGTTGTTCTCCCCAAACATCAGTGTCGCTGGTCGTCCCATACCCTTTTGCTCAAGTTAGTGTGCACCAACATGAATCACTGTTTTAGACCAAACTAAAGAAACTGCAGAATCAGTAGTAATCATTGCATATCAAATAGCTTTAGCAGTTCAATTCATATATTTTTTTTTTCTAGGGAGAAGTGGGGCCATGATTTTGCTGGTAGAGAAAATTTGGAGTTTGTTCTGTCAAAGAAAATGTCATGGGAAGAAAAATATCAGATGGTGCATATCGAAAGAATAGTGTGGTTACAAAATATTTCATCTATAATGAGAATTGTTTTTTATAAGCACATGGTTCAAATTCGGTTGAAATGTAATATAGTATATTTTGTGACTAGTTTTTTTTTTTTCATTGTTCATTTAGCTAAAATTTAATATCAACCAAGATACTGTGGTGGCGAGAAGTTTTCTCCCAGAAATAACTCGTTTACATTTTTTTCTTTAAGGGACCTTGACTAGACATAATATAAATATTTTTTTATATAATTTAATTCATAACTAGTACTACAAATATTTGAATCCTAAATCATGTACGGGTGGAGAGGCGATAAATGCTTTGATTTCCATAAATATTTTCTCACCATCTATTTGTAATTTATATTCGAAATGCTTAAAAAACTTCTATAAGTCATGTGATATAGTAGACTTCTCAAATAAATTATGCATCCAACAACTTGTGTAAGTGATATTAAATGTTGTACTTGAAATCAAACAAATTAAGTTTATATGATTTTGCAATATTGCAATTATTAGTACAAAAATAGTCTTTCACTTCACACAATTTACATCATATTCATAAGAACACAACAAAAAAATGCAGTCTCATATTTGTAAATAAATAAAACTTGTTTATGTCGAACTATTTAAGGTTTGGTGTAAAACTATTTAAATTAGAGCTCTTAGCTTTCTTCTTCCTCACGATTGATTTTCTTCCTCTCATCTCATTTTCTTTCTTTGGTAACAACTGTGTGGATGTTGGTAAACATTTTGGAGACCATTTTTATGATGTGAATTGGTGGTTTATAGGTGTTCGCAGTGATGGATAGTTTTCTTCAATTTGATTGGAGTTTTTTAAGTCCAAATGCATTAAGATAGGTGTTATATATATATATATTGTACTTTTGAAATTAAAGTAGTGATTTTTTTTAAGATCTTATTCAAAATGCATGAATGTCTCCATTAAATTTGTTTATTGGTGTAACTTTTTGTTTTCACCAATTTACTTTCACATTATAAAAGTTATATGTTTTGTTGTATTATTTTATTCATCTCATTTTGTAAAAATCATTAATAATAGATAAAAGAAAATTTGACCAATTTTTTTTGGGATAACTTATTTTTGTGTGTATTTAGTAGAGTCCTTACATTTGATAGAATATTAATAGATTTTGACATATAAAAATTTGGTGAAGAAAAATTCAAACAAAACTTCTGATAGAGACCTCAGATTGAGACACATTATAAAAGAAATTTGTTTGAAATAAAGAGAGAATCCACTGGTCAATACACAAAAGGAATTAGAGGACCAAAATATGTGAAATGGTCATTTAATAATTTTTTTTATCTTTTAGTATTTTTGTAACATTTTTCTATTTTAGGCTTTTAGCTCACATACCAATACTTGTTAAGAAAATTTTAAATTTCTTCGTAGTGTTTTAATAATGCCGCAATCTAAGATGTCACGACTAAAATATAAAACATTCTTATATGCAAAAATTTTAAATCAGACAACATCTCCAAAACTGAAGTAATAAAAATCTAAATGTATTTAACGTCAATTAAATAAAAGCATAAATAAAAGTATAAAACTTCCAAGTAATAAATTAAAACTGTCACATAAAGTTTAAATAAAAATTGTTTAAAATAACTAAAAAACTCTCCAATCACTCTCCAAATCTCATCACTTTACATGTGTTGCTGTACAATAACATAAGTTATACGATCATCGGACACTTACAAACAAGCAAGGGTAAGTTAAATGAGTAAACATCAATACAATATATTAAACTCAATCATCAAGTCAAAACTATAATTCTATCACACTCACCCAAAACCCATTCAAAACAAATTACGCTAGTGAGTCAATCTCAAAACTAATCCCTTCATTTAAAAAACAAACCACACTAACCTCAACTAATCTCTAAGACCCTATATCATCACAAAGATATGTCACATCAAACACAAACCACAACCTAGAAATGCCAAAACAAGCATCGTCCTTATGTACTCTATCGTACAAAACATGTTCACCAAAATAGGACACTTGTTTGAGTGATCCTCCACCGCAACTTTGAACCTATATCCCTTGCTCCTCAGGAACTTATGAGTAAAAGCTTTATTGTTGCTCATAATGGGCATTATACTCAGTACAAGCCGAAAACCTACATGCGAGACATTCATCTTTTTACTCCCTCGAGAGGAGAAAGGGCAGTACTAGAACCTCATCTCTTATACTTTCTCTTATAAACGAAGATGTTCACCTTTCTAAACCCTTGAAAGAGGAAAGGTGATTACCTTTCTACCACCTCGCAAGACGAAAGATGCAACCCCGGATTTACGAAGTACAACAAGGAGACACAATAATCACACATCATCACAACACCTAACAGCTCGACACACATACCCAATAAGGTAGTCAACTCGACAATCATTCAAAGTACCTCGGCCAACATTCACAAGACTAAAAAAAAAACCCCAGCAACTCTGTATTACACCCATTAGTTGGCTACCAAGAGAAACAACTCGGCAACCAACAACTCAGCCAAGGTCTAAAACCCACAGGCTAACCTATAAACCTTTCAAAAACGAACTTTAAAGCCCTAAAGTCGAGATAACTCGACCAACACACAAACCAACTCGACCAATAGCTCAAATAGGTCAAACAACCTATAGAACATCCAAAAATGAGTTCTAGAGAAACCAAGGTCCCCAAAAACTCAGACAGAACAACCTAGACTGACCACTCTGTAGTTCGACCAACTCGGCCAAACAACCCAACACAACATCATGGAGCACGATCAACCCAACCTAGCACCCTAGGGCCCGGCCAAACCAACCCAACAATCCAGCTTGGCCAAACATAACACAACCAACCTGGTTACAAGAATACAACCTAGACAGATCAGCAACCCAAACAACTAGGTAATTACAGTGACAACATGTCAAAAACCTCATTCATCACGATGGTAATAGATAATAGCACGACACATACTATATACCTCATGATAGCAAATTAAAACATCACGACACAACCTATATACATGACGATAGCATTAGATAACAACATGGTTACATACAAAATAGCTTGACACATGCTTCACACGTCATAATAGCATTTAATCCCAACCTGGTACAACATGACCACGACCCATACATCCATATGATTCATGTGTATACAACTCGATACTTGGTTCAAATATTATGGTAGCAATTAAAAATAACCTCATACAACCCTACGATAACATGACAACAAATAACTACAACATATGAACATGGTAATATACCAAAAACAACATGGCAATGATAGTTTGATGAAAAACTAAACTACACCGAATATAACATAATAGAATGAATGACATACTATTTTAAATGGAAAACCACTGCACTGCAAATAAAAGAATAAGATGGATCTCCTATTAATTGGAAAACAAGTTCTAGAATATATATATATATATATATATATATATATATATTACCCTAACATGCATCATATCATCCTATATCAATTATGAACAATGCTGTTTATCCCATCCTAACGGCTACACACAATGCAACACGCATACTACTAATTTTCAAACATGAATAATCACCAGTGTAGTCAAGGGAAACGACAACGATTGTTTTCGCTTATAGATAGCAGTTCCGCAACCAAGGCATATATAGGCGAGACAAAAAGAGTAGGTTTTTTGCCTCGGTTTTGAACTGAGTCAAAAGGATTCATATTATGCCTCGGTTCCCAGACAACCGAGGCAGTAAAGTGTTTTTAATTTTTTTAATCTCAACCGAGATCGTTTCCTCGTTATGTTCTATTTTTCTATGCTCTATGTTCCTTCTCTTTTTAATCTCAACCGAGTCTAGAATTCTTGATCAAACATAGCAAGAAAGAAGCTCCTTATCATTGGCAACTGAAATATAAAGATAACATGCTGAAAAGGAAAACCATCAACATATGAAACTTGTTGCTGAGTTCTTACTATTCAATGAAAAGTATGAAGCCACAAACTTAACAAATAAAGTACATATAAACAAAACCTATGATTGTGCTGAAAAAAGGAAGGAAAGAAGATATGAATGACAGAAGGAAGAAAACAGACAAAAACACAATTTTGAGACAAAAAAAAAAACAATATGTGCAGCCTTAGCCACAAAACCTTCTTGACACAAACCAAAGAGCCTTTCATTCTCTCTTTCAGACTCTTCTTTTAACAGAACTGATAGCTTCTCAAGAACAGTTGCCTCTTCTTCATCATAGTATAGTTGTGCTCAGCGTCAGGGTAGTAATGCTCGAAAGACTCACTCCAAAATAACGGGTTTAGACTAACACTACCCATTAGCACGTTCTCACTACCAAATCCTCTAATTATCACGAACCAGTGGCACCCAAACTCCAACCTACACTAACAACCCAAATTTTCAACCCCAATAGAAGCTCCTGACGGAGGTGCAATCGGAGCTCTCCAATGGCTTCAAATATGGACGCTGGCCAAGACGCGGGTGGAGACGCAACTCGAGAGGGCGGTAGGGGAGAGAACGGAGATGGTGAGGAAGATCAAGGAGCTTAGGCACCAAAAGACGTGCTTAACCGAAGGATTGAGTTCTGCAAGCAGAAGGACGCAATTGGAATGGCGGTTAGGCTCGCCGACACGCGCTGCACCTTCCACGAGTATACGGCAAAGGAGATCTTGTTGGCCACCGACAACTTCTCCGAGCGGCTGAGGTTGAAGTCCGGCAGAGATTGGAGCAATGTTTACCGGGGACGCTTCAACCACTCCATCAAGATGCTCCCTTTCTTTCTCTCTCTTCTTTCCCAACGAGCAATCAGAAGTCGCAGAGCAAACTAAGAAGTAGAACCCCCAAATCCATTTCGCCATCCACCTACAGAGAAACAGAACCAAAAATCCAAGGAAGAGAAACGCAGATCCAGCGCTTAACCGCCACCACGCCGCCGCGTCCTCGCCGCTCCATGAGAAAAGAGTTTCCGCTATCGTAGAGAAAGAGGAGAAGAGGAGAGGTGCTAGGTTTTGGGGGAAAAGTTTCCTCCCAGAGGCTAGGTTTTCTTGGCTTTAAGGTCCTACGGTCCAAGC